ACTTAACTCGTCGAGTACCGGTTTTGTAGACACAATTATAGAACAATAGGTTGCGGTCACCGGTGACCGCTTGGTGTTTGACAGTTTAATGCGTTTATTTTATATCTGGTTACAGTGCTTAGGTACCTACTTAATTACCTCCCTAAAATGACTGAATGAGGATAAATAACAAAATTACCTCAAAGGACGCAGACATCGGCAAGTATGACACAAACGTGATAAAATCACGTTTCTTTTTTTCCACTTGTCGTAATACGGAATTTGACGTATGGCTCTATAATACGTCTCAGAGTTTTGAGGTATGTAGCCCGGGTCTCTTCTATTCGCGATCACCCAGCTGAGCCACATAATCGCATTCCAATAAAGGAAACAGTAATGGGACAGACGTAGTGTGTTCCATGTCAATGGTATGCATCTAATTACATACATAGGATATCCCCAAAGTAATACCGATATCAAAAAGAACAGTAGAGGACCCTTTGAGTCTCCAGCACCTCCAAATAACAGCGCCCACAATTCAGAAAGCGGAGGCATCCAGTGTGACTTGCGTTTCATCTCCTTTTGTAACAGTTTTACAACTTCTAAGTGTCGGTGGCTCTGTGCTAGCATCAATGGTGTTTTTCCATTTTTGTCGCGAGGTTCCAATTCTGCTTTGACCTACAAAAACACAGATTTTGACATTGGATAGATACTTCTAAGGTCGTTATTTGCCCCAATTGATAGTGTTCTTACCTTTTCACATAATAGTCTTACGCAAGTCAAATTGCCCGACAAACACGCCAGATGAAGTGGTGTCGATCCAAAATTATCAGTGCAATGTAAAGGTACGCCTGAATAAATTAACAAGCGTACTAGGTCAGCATGACCCTTGTATGCAGCCCAGTGGAGGGCAGTGTCGCCGTTAATATCAGACAGCCTGGTCGCCGCTCCCATGCCAAGTAAATACGCAGCCGTTGCAGTCTTGCCGTACATACAGGCCGTCATCAGCGGGGTCAAGCCTGTAGAAATGAAATTTGTAATTTTTTTGTTAGGTAACTACTAACATAGACCTATGGTCAATGCTAATGAAATATTAGGAATACTTACCTTTGAAGTCGGCAGCGTTGACAGCAACTCCAGACTGTAACAGAACTTGTACTACCGACGCGTGGCCCTTGCGACAGGCCCAGTGGATTGGACGGGGACCCTTAAAAGAAATAATTACGAGTTGGTCAATATTGATATGTCAATGGGTATAAAAAAATATCTAGATACTTCATGTAGTGAATCCATCCTAGGTCTAGTTATTATAAATATTACCTGAGTGCCCAAGCAAGAAAGATCGATGGGTGCTCCTCGTTCGACGAGATAGCGCATGACCGCGACGCTGCCGTCCAGTGCAGCCCAGTGTGCAGGAGTGTAGCCATGCTGATCTCGAGCACTCAGCACTTCCACGCCAAGTTTTTCTACTAGGCGTTCAATTTCTGATACTTCTCTAAAATTAATAGGTTTAAGGTATAAGTAAGTAAGTAGGTACACTTAATAATTAAGTTCACCAAACTTAGCATAGGTAGGTACTTAAGTTTTCATAAAATTTCTGACCCGGAACGGACGGCTTCAAAAATAAGTTGATGAAGATCGGAGTGATGATTGTAGCTAGTAATTGTACGAGGTGGCGCGGCTGGAGCATCTGGCGACATGGGAGAGCAAGGCGGCAGAGCTTCCTCTGCTGCCATCGTGCAGGGGGGCGGCTGCGGCAGCGCCCACACGCCGCGCGCCGCCCCCGGGCTAGGGTACACCTGAACAAACGCAAATCAGTTTTCCAAAATCATGTTCTTAGAACCATTGCATGACTGTGGTGACCACTGATTGACTGATTTAGCTAAATGCAAGTAAATCAGCTAATAATAAACAGAGAGATAAATTAGGTATCTATGTAAGAATAGATAGATTATGTAGTACCTGCACGAGACGCGTGTCGATCACGTTAATTGAATTTTAATTTAATTAACTATGGACTTCTATATTTCAAATATTATTGTTACCTAATGTATACGTAAGACGGCGGCTGATGCGCTACACTAATTATTATCGTGTGTTCGTACATACATAACAGACACATTCGATTTACCTATAGTTTAATTACCTATAATATACAGAGTGTCCCATGTGTTGTGTCGTAGTCTAAGTCTAAACGTAACTTAAGTCCTATGCATAACCATTTAACCTTAAACATGACAGGAAACAACGTAGGCGGATGTAGGTAGGAAGGGTGTATTATAATTTATAGGTATCGTATAATAATATATCTAATACACGACAAACAAGTAAGATTTTCTTCCTAGGTTACGCACATTAATTAGAGTTGGTACCAATTTATTACTATGTAGGTAATTTAATTTGAACATTAAGTACAAGTGCTGCCTGAAATTGTTAATATGTCGGGCATTGTTCAGTGTAACGTTAACTTCCACAGTAACACTTAAACGCATTAATCATGCGCGACTTTAATGTGTGCCTGATTGATCCCATGGACTGAGAGAAAAACATGGAGTGACCAATTTCCCTTACCTTACTACTCACGGCGAGGCCGACGCCCCCCGCCACCACAGAACCCTCTCCGTCCGCCACGGCCGTATCGCCGGCACACGGACGCACTGTGAAACTTCGTCCTATTTCAACTATTAAAAATTATAAGGAATATATTCACAAACAAAAGTAAAAACAATTCAGAGATTGCGTGACCTACGGCACCTAACACGGTTATTGCCTATGTATATCGATTCTCGGTTTCTAGAGCATGCGCCTTCAATCCAGTTATTGAAACGTGTAGCCCATGTAGGTACACTAGGTACAAAATGCAAGGAAATTATGTTCTGCTTTTGTTCAAATATCTACCTAAATATTTAATGAATGTAAGATTTTGAAATAATCTTACTTAATTTTATTATTTTGTCCTTTCATTAAAAGTTACTTTTTTCTAAACAGATGGCGCTATGTACAAAATTTATTAAGTTCTTCCAAAGAACTACAAAACAATAGCAATAAATCTTGTACAACTTATTTTTTTGAAGTCGATTTATAATAAGAATAACAGTACTAAGAAAGTGCTATCTGTTATTATTATTTTTTGCAATAACATGACGTTTGCTACTACGGGTAGGTAGGTACAGAGGTATTTATTATACCTAGACAAACCACTTATCTACCTACATTTCATTTTAAGGAAGACATCATGTTATTTTAAGTATAACCTTCCATTATCGTAAGTACCTACGATATACGATATACCTATGGTGTAACTAAGTCGCGGAGAACCTAACGGGTAACCGGGGCTCCGGTTCACCGTGCAGGAGAAGGAACGGGGTGGTTTTTAGTCAGTAAGAGTCTGACACTCCCTCCCGCCTCACCCAGGCGGGAGCAGTCATTTGGTGTAACTAAACAATAATAGTTTATTCTGAACACCGATACTTACCGGATTTTGACCGCGACTTTAGATACAAAGATCATCATTTTAATTTGTAACTTTAATAGAAAAGTAAGATAATTCGTGCAAATACCTACTTTTAACTAAGTACCTAGGTGCCTATATGAACTTTTAACAATAGAAGTAGAATATTAGAAGTAAATTATCAGAAAATGATTTTCTACTAACGGAACCCCAAGTAGATAGCTGCATGAAATATGTATTTTATTAAATATCGATAATGTTAATCAGGTGCAATGGAAAAGTTTAAGTAATGGTTATTTGTTGCGATCCTGCGAAATTGGCATAAAATATTCTACACCTACCTACAATCTTTTTTCGTGAACGTTTCGCATTTAATTGATATACGATAACTTATTGATACCATCGTTCAAATATTATTCACACTTATCTATATTTTACATTACTTACTTATTGACTATTCCCAGACACAATAACGATAAAATTAAAGTTGGTAATTAGGTACCAACCCGATACTCAAATATTGAAACAACACACCAAAACTGAAAAATATAATAAGGTACATTACCTTATATCTTTTTAGAATTTCTTAAAATATTCATATTTATCAATTTACCTAAAACTTGCTATTCTCTTAATGAGATGCATAATTGAAGATTAGCGCCATCTTTTGAGAAAAATGTAAAAGAGCTGTAATAGTTCACGCCCAACATGTGGGACAAGTTGATTGGGTTAGAAAATTGTAATATCGGTATTTTTACTACGAAACACTTACTTGAATTACTGTTGTCTGGTAAATTTGTCTGTATTACTTAAAACTTGTTAATTTTAACTTTTAAGAATACATTACTTGTATAATTAGTATGTACTAGCTAATAACAATTTAATTGTAGTATTTAATCATCATTTAGGTATTTAGAAAGGTAGGGCACTATTATTATAAAAAGTAGGACAAGGAGAATAAAATAAAATCAAAACACATTTTAAAATTGTGAAAATGAACTTTAATTCAGCAAATTTTATACTAAATGTATAAATATGATATAATCTAGATTTCGTTTTCACTACCTAAATAGACATCATGTTATAAAAAGTGTACAACTAAAACTAGTAGCTGATTAAACATCTCAATGTGGCTTATCAATTAGTTAGATCTTGTAAAAGCACTTTCTTTAAAATGGTTTTATTATACTTAAATAATAAGATTAAAATAATGAAAGCATTACAGCTCAAAACTGATGTTGAACTTCCAAACAACAATCATATTCAATACAATCTTAAACTTCTACTAAACTTGAAACTTTAACGAGCAAACCGAATAAATTATTATTCATAAACAAACTTAACAATGTCGATAGCTCAAAATAATAAAATATTTTCAACAAGAGTCAACTGACTGCACATATTATGGTTAAGGTGTACACAAAATTCAGAAATCGGGACTATTTTATATGCAATATTTGATAATGCCAATTAATTAGGTATTGTTTTTGTCTATTTATTACTGTATTGATATTGTAAAGTTTATTAAGTCTTTCACATAAGCATTATCTCTTCTGGGTCTTGAAACTAACCGAGAGAGGTTGGCCATGAAGAACATATCCATTCAGTGCTTGTATTGCCATCGCAGCTTGGTCATAATTTCTCATTGTTACAAATCCAAATCCTTTACTCTTATTAGTTGAATGATCCTTGATTATCTTAACCGATACAATAGCACCATATGGACCAAATAGCTGCCACAGAGTTAATTCTTCCACCTCCGGAGCAATATTATAAATGTATATAGACCATGTACTCGGAGAATTGTGATCTCCAATGGCATTCATATGATTTATCCAATGATAAGGTCGCACAAGTGGATTTTTGGGAAAGTTATTATTATTATTTTTATGTTTATTAGGGTTACTCTTATTAGCATACTTAACAGTTAAAGGGTGTAGAAAGCCAGGCGGTGTGGTGCCATTTATGTTCTGAATGGCTCTTTCCGCTTCATATTGGTGTTCATATAAAACAAATGCTATACCTGCAGCTATACGAGAATTAACTATTTTACCAAATTGTGCGAATAGTCCATGTAAATCCTGCAAGGTCAGTTCATTAGGCAGGTTACATACGTAGAGGTTCCAGTCAGCTTCAGGTTTCGAAGGCGGTTTTAACTCCGGGTTAAGAAGTGCGTGCGACACTTTCAGAGTCTTATTTTGCATTAGAAGTCCGTTAAAAGCCTTACGTGCCTTGACTGCATCCTCGGGACGAGAGTACTCGACGAACCCATAGCCTCGGTTCGCTATCAACTTACAACTTTCCAGTTTACCCATTGTTGAAAATAGTGAGAACATCATATCCTGGGTCATGACTTCAGGAATGTAATTGACGATAAGTTTGGTGGGTGATTCGTCCGGCCCAAATTCATTATTTCCTTGACAATTACCGTCTTGACACGATTCCGACATTTTTTAATTGTTGTCGGTGAATGACATTTCACTGTAGTGTTGCGTGTTTTCTTAGGTACGTTCGGAAATTAGCCCGATATAGTGACGTTACTTTTGTCTATGAATCTCAATAGAAAAAAGTACTATAACTTCTAATAAGTAAACTATTTATTTCTTGAATTACTAAAAATTAAAAAAAAACTTAGTTATGTTTTTATAATAACTATCATGAGACATACTAAATTAAGTAAGTGCGTACGTCGCCGCGACCGCACACGCTGCTCATGAGGAAGAACCCCTCTGTGGTTCGAAACTAGTAGAGCTTTTCTCAGTATATTCACGTGAGTAAGAGTAACCCGCGTTTTTATTTAAACTTAGTTATTTTATATATAACATAACATCTCGCCATTCACGCCTTTTATCCCCGAAGGGGTAGGCAGAGGTGCACACAGAAATAACCCCCACTTTTCACTATTTATGTTAAGATTCGCATGTAAAAAGGGGTGAGCCTATTGCCATATACCGGGCACATTTCCCGACTCCGTGCTACTACTACTGAGAAATTTTTTAAAACCCAATAATACTTTGCCGGATCCGGGAATCGAACCCGAGACCCTTTGCCCGGCAGTCACACTTGCGACCACTCGGCCAACGAGGCAGTTAGTTACTTTATGTAGGAAATAATAATTTTATTGGTTAAGAAGATTAGAATAGAAAGTTTTTGATATGAAATTCACACGAAACATTAATATACCAAAGCACCAAGAACCTTTAAATGTTTACACTGTTTAGTAACCTTGCAAGGTTATGGGTAAATAAATAAAAATATCGGATCTAAAAACAGCCAATTATTTGAACAATTAGATACACAAAACAGATATTTACTGTATGTATTTATCAATTTTGAGTATTTATCCGAACAATCGCCCATCTCTAACGAATCTGATATAGGTATTAAACATACAGATGGCACTAGTGTAGACTGGTTGTCTTTTATCCAAGGAACTTATATAATTTATCTTTTATCCCAAAGAGTATAATAAGTATAGGATCCAAGAGTGCCTAGTGTCACGGACGTACAATTTTTAACAGCTAATGATTAATGGACAAGTAGTGAAATTTCTAGATTAACGCCATCTGGTGAGTAAAAACAGTAGCTCTCATTTGAGAAAAAAGATATATGGCGGTATGTTTTGATTCGATAAAAATTGAGCATGGCCTGATTGTCATATCAAACGATTTCGAAACAGTTTTGTATAATAAAAAGAAAACGATAGGCATCATTTGCACCAATAGCTATATTTTCTTGCATATAAGTACACCACCATTAAATACGCAAACTATAAAGTTGTCACATTCGAGATTATTATTTTAAACAGATTGTACACAGATCTGTAGTAGCACAACAAAACAGTAAAATGTGAAATAGCTACCACTAATTAATTTCTAACACACAACATGGTATTCGTTTAGTTTAAATAAATTATGTAATAACATGCTCATTGTTTGTCAAATACATTAAATTTTATAACAGTAACTCTGGTATAAATAAATAATTATGACCCGTGCAGACAATACCATGCACTTGGAAACCAAGTGAACAGTATCTAGCTTTAATCTCTTCTAAGAACACAAACACTTGTTTACTAAGTCGTGCATGTACAACATAGATAACATTCTCGATTATATTTTCTAATTGGGATATCATAATGCTGATTTGTAGTCATTTCAATAGATTCAATAGGTACCCATAAGCTAAAGAACATTAAGCACAAATTCTTCAACACCAAACACATTGAACTACATAAGCACCCTTTATAAATGCATATATTATATTTTTTTTAAAACAGTGAAGGTCAACTCAAAATACTCTATACTGTACATTTTTTTCATTTATAAAACTTATTTCTTAATTAATGTGCTGTAAATAGATTTCAGATCTAAAATAACTAAACAAGGATTTTAAAGTTAAATAACAAAAATAATTTAATAATCACGTATAAAAATAGGAAGGAACTATAATCACAAAATAAAAATACCCAAAGGTATCTTACATTATAAATATGCCTATGATTTAAGCTATCTCCAAGGTAACAGTGGAATGTAAACAAATTATAATGATATACTTTTCAATAAGCTGATTCCAATTTACGTACAATACATATACAAAATTTCAAATTAGAGCTAATCCACATACACACACATATAATAGCGTCACCACATACCCAGTTGGCTACAGCTCATGCAAGTGTTTATCTAAAAAGTTTAAAGTAATACCCATCTCTCAATATTTGTCAAAACACATCAATACTTAAAAGGTCCAATATAAAATAAACATTTAAAAATAAGCTGAGCTTGTCAATTAATCAACACCTATAAGCTAATTAAATATTTTTATAAAGCAAAATATTGTGGAACATTTACTACACACAATTATTGTCATGATTATCATATAAAACCACATAAAATATTATAAAACTCTTTGGTTAACATTTATATTAGTGTACTGATTTGGTTTGTTCAGTAAGCAAAAAATATATTCTTTACATTTATAAATGTACCAAACACAAATCCTGTGAATCCGAAAATCATGATTAATATATCTTTCCACAACTTCCAATTGCTTTGTCCAAGTTGGTCAGGCCAGAATGTCATTATTTCTATAAGTGGTGGAAAGATTAGTGCAAGTGCTGAGCTGCTGAACGCTCCCACCAACGATATTATACCACTCAAGTTCGGAATCAGTGCTGCTGCCAAAACTGCAATAGATGATCATTATTATTACTTACATCCGTAATGATAGCATATTGCATATTGACTCAGTCACACAGGTCAATCAATAAGTGTATTTCCCACAACATATTATTTATATTATAAATATTCAGGGTGAAAACCAATATTTGTTTGATAAGAGTGACAGCCATGTGGCAAATATATGAATAAGGTATATATATATGTATTATATTTACATTCATTTTATAACATATCCAATTGTTTTAGTCCAAACGTGATAAACTTTGAACCAGACAGACATGACAACAATTAATCTATGCATGCCAAGATAAGGATTCTGTTATATAGGTAGAAGATTTAGATGATCAAAACTAACTTACATGTTATAGAAATTAGCACAAATCGCGTAACTGCTTCACCGTATTTAAGACTTTGTTCTGAGGTAAGTTTTGACTTTATATAAGGCCAAACTATGTTCATGGGTACATAGAACTGTAATCCATATGATAAGAAGATTGAAGCTGCCATAACTGCCCGGACACTTTGAGCTAATCTGGAAGTAAAAATAATTTTTAATATATAATAGTTGTGATATAAATTAAAGAACCTATAATCCAGAGAAAATGACAACTTACAATGAGTTTGGCAAATTAAGCGTTATGCTGCCTTGCACTCGTTCGCCATATTTAAGATACCCGAAAAATCCAATACCAGTATACAATGCGGCGACTATCACCATGCCAGTGTTAAGCACACCATTCCAGCCACCAAAGGCCTCTGGAGTTTTCATATTGTTTTCTAAAGGTAAGATCTGCAATAATATAGGTACGGAATTATTGTGGTGTATAAATCGTTCCTAGAAAGATAAGAAAAAAATAAATAAAAAGCTTAATTAGTAATTGCAGTTCATTATTGCAGGTTATCGTGAGATAAATGTAATTATAAATATTTGTATCAGTCTTTTCTTTGTGCCTGTGTTATAAAGAAGAATAAGTATCTTCTATTGAATGCAGTTTAAGGATGCTAAGAAGTTATAATACTTTGCAATTTAATCCTATCACTGAAAACCTATTAAAATTCGTTGTTCTACTACTAATACTACTGGTAGTAGAGGAACAAATTTTGTGTGGTTTACCGTCATCAGTAGTGGTGATATTTATGATATATACGTGTATTGTGTAAGCAACTCAGTTTTACATCCATGGGCTTAGTGTTGTAGGTCAAAGTCAAAGTCAAAGCATTTATTTCAATTAAACTGATGCTGACTGCTGATTTCAAAATGTAGATTCGAATGGAGAAGAACGAGCAAGAAAATCCATTCGTTACTTTAAAAAAAAATATTCTACAATGCCTCTGGTACATATTCCAATATTGTAATATTCAGTACAGGTGCCTGCATAGCTAACAAGACCAGTCAGGTTTTACAGGTACCTGGCCTTCAAAGTCAAAGTCAAAGTCAAAGCATTTATTTCAATTAAACCATAGTTTGGTACTTTTGAAACGTCAACAAATACAAAATAAATAATAGTCTGTCAGTCAGTCCGTCAGTGAAGCTAAGTGAAGCTAGGTGCTCATTCCAAAACGTAGATTCGAATGGAGAAGAACGAGCAAGAAACTCCATTCGTTACTCTTTTAAAAAAGTATGTTCTACAATGTCTCTGATACATATTTCAATACTGTACGCATATGTAAGAACAATGCAAAGACACGCTTGACGCATTATACTAATAACTTACTAAAATAAAAATAAAAATAATAAAGATCTTAAGTCTAACATGGTGCTCACATATGCATACTGACAATCCATAGAAATAGTGCTTCTATACAAGAAAAAGGAAACTCTTTGTTTCAATAAAGAAAGAAATGCTCGATGCCATAAGGAAACTAGATTGTCTACATTAGAATTAAAGTATTAAATTATGTATTATATTACCTACATACTATTGGAATTTAACTACTGACTACATTTGAGTATTGTCCAGTGGAGCCGAACCAACATGCTGCCAAGCATTCTTATCTTCAAGATAATCTGTCAGTGTGTAGTAAGCTTGATTACATAATTCGCGCTTAATATATGTTTTAAATTTACTTTCATTGAGATCTAGTATGCTATTTGGTATTTTATTATAGCATTTAATACCTAACCCCATAAAGGATTTCTGTACTTTGGACAGTCTGAATTGCGGTATAGCTAACTTATTTTTGTCTCTAGTATTAAAATTGTGTCTATCGCTTCTTTTTTCAAACAATTGCCTATTTTTCCTTACATACATTATATTTTCATATATATATTGACAGGGCACCGTTAAAATATTTATCGTTTTAAACAATTCTCTCAACGATTCGCAACGGCGTAAGTTATATATTGCTCGGATAGCCCGCTTTTGCAGAATAAATATTGATTCTATTTCTGCAGCTCGACCCCACAATAAAATGCCGTACGACATAATGCTGTGGAAATAACTAAAATAGACAAGCCTAGCTGTATCTACGTCCGTGAGCTGTCTAATCTGTCTAACTGCAAAAGCAGCTGAGCTCAATCTCCCCGAAAGCGCCTTTATATGCGGACCCCATTGTAGCCTATTGTCTAACGTAATGCCTAAAAATACTGTCTCGTCGACAAATTCTAACTTTTGACCGTTCAAAACAATATCACAATCGTTACTACGAACGTTTGGTAAACTGAATTTAATACATTTTGTTTTTTTTTCATTAAGTGCTAGATTATTAATGGTAAACCTTCTTCAGTTAAATCATTAGACAATAGCTTTTTTACACAGGTGTCTACTATAACGTTTTGTAGGGTGCATGAGTGAAAGCATTTAAGTTAAATTGGTACCTATTGATACCTATCAAGGTCTATCTACATATTACGTAACTCAATGCGAACTTATGGCGTCATAATGCTGCATCGCTACCGAAGTATGTCATGGGAGTGACGTCATGCGGTCGTTATTAAAGCTGTATCAATTACATTCTACCATTTCATGATAGAAATGTGGGCGGACCATAGTGCTCCCTACTTATCATGTGCTATGGATTCATATTAGTTTTCACGGTTTAGAGCATAAACATTTTACTGCCATTTATTTAATACCTTAATTTCATTTTTATACGTTACATCTACCGACATAATGTATAAAGTATAAACTTAGTACTCAGATTGGCAGAATGATCAGTCAGTACCTACCTATTATAGGTATTTTACCAAACGATCATTCAATAACTATCCACTTGGGTTGGTGTACCAGTGTACTTACAGTCCTACTCATAAATTGATATAATTCCGTTTCAAATCTACCGATTTATTGAACACATCCGCTCATTTTTAGGACCATTTGGAATCTTAACCAATTTATACAAGATTAACTGGTATAGAGTCACTACAGAAGTATTTAGTGTATGTATGTAGGTAGTTCACTTTAGAATTTACACTTATAAGTACTTAGGTACCTACCTATTTTTACGTTAGTGGGTGGTAGTTGTACCTATGTTAAAATTCAATGTCTACTATTACCTATGCGATAGATAATTTATTTATTACTTAAGCTGATTAAAGGCTGAAATAACGTAAATTAAACTTTCTGAAGGAATTTAAGTTTTGACAGTAAGATACTATGAGAGACCTATGAGAAAATCAACCGTTGCGTCACACTGGGTTTTTCCCGTGTTGTGTGTGCATTTACAAACATACAAGTTTACATAAACATGACACCCAGACCCGAAACAACAATTTGTGTAACTAGTACCTACACAAAAATTTCTTACGTGCGAGGACCGAAACCGCTACACGCTGCGCGGTAGATGGTTGTGCGTCCGCTACGCCAAGTATCAATACATCGCACGTTTAATAATAAACCGAACTAATTCGAAATTTCAAATTGTTGGGAAAATGAGGTCAAAGTTTTGCGAGTGTGACTGGGTTTATAATTTTGTGAACTACAAAAAGACGATTGCGATTACAATGATTCTAGTTAGTGGTAAATGTAACTAATGAAATTAGCTATCAATAGGTAAATGAATGTTTTCAATACGATCACAATTTTTTTAAATAAAGGGCTATGAATAAAGCCTTTGGAATTAATTCGTTTTATGATTAAAATGTTGGATGATATCTAAAATCTTATGTGGTATAATACGTTATAGAGCACTTTAATATTAACGAAATTTATTGTTTGTTTGAATAATTAGGCCTTATTGCTTTTTCGATGTATTCATTTTTGTTTATCTTCGCTTTATTACACAAAGTTGCAGTTTAATATTTAAAAGTGATAAAGGTTTCAAAGAAAATGCGAAGTAATCCAAAAAAATTATTACTTTTATTAAATAATCAGTATCTATTTTTGTACCCGTATTATTTTTAAATTAGACATAGACATCTTAAACTTCAAAATTATGCTTAACTAACATTGGAATCAATGGTTTGTACGTTTAATTACCATTCTAAATAACAAAAATAAACAATCAAACATCAGTAACAAAAATAAACATCAGGTAAAAATTAACTGAACATACCTAGTTACTTTCTTAAGTAATCATAGATAATTAAGTCTTTTAGTAAATCAAGTCTTAAGTAATATCAATTAAGTCTTTTGGTAAATCAAATTCTAAATTAGTTACAATCTTCGTTTAAACTTAAATATAACATCAAAGGCTATCCGCCAATTAAAGTATAACAAAATAACAAGGTAAGGAAACATATACCATAGTAAATATGTATTAAAAACTTTTAAAAATATTCCAACGTTTGTACATAAAATCCTACAAAATTGTATTATAATAAAAATCATAATACGAAGGAATCAATCTTTTTGTCCGTAGTTCATTTAAATCCTTTTTTTTATTAGCACTTAAGGTTTGCCTTTCTGTGTAAGCTTGTTTAAGCAAAATATTATCCACCTCGGTTTTCATTTTCTTTCTCTTGTTTCTTACGTTCACTTCTTTAAAAGATTCATCCTCATACGAGTTTTTGTAATAAAATGTAAAAGGATTACCCTTGCACATTTTTAACTGTTTTATCTCATTCCAATTTACAGTTTCCCCATCAATATTTATAGTGTAATTATAGCCCCATTCTTCTTGTAGATTTTTAAGATCTACGAACATGTTGTACGTCATCTCATGCACATTAATTGGTGGACTACATTTTTTTGCAGACTTAATCAAAGCCACATACTGGTCAGGGGTGTAAATTGGCCCCGTTTTAAGATTTTTCTTCACTTCCTTTTCAATTAGGCTATGTACACTATCTGCCTCATTTTGAGTATGCCCTCTAATGAGGAATTTATGAGTAATACTATTTATATTCAACATTTGTACAGCATACAGATAAAGGGTTGCTATATATTTATTTTTGTTCTGACCGCAGCAGTTATCGGAATAAAAAATAACATTCTTTCCTTCAATCCCTCCTTCACAGCTTATCTTTTTTAAAAACTCCCAAACACAAGTGCCGATTTCAATTGCTCCACGTTTTGCCTCTATTTCAGTCCAAAAATAGCACTGCACGTTATCGTATGCATTTTTAGTATCTTTGTTGTTTAGTTCCGTCATCGTGAGGTTATAGCTATTAATTTTTGACTTATAATAAAACGCTGACGTATCTCCTCGAGGACATTGTAAAACTGCCTCTAAGTCATAAACTACCACTTTATTGTCATTATCAGCATTCATTCTATCATTTAACTTTTCTGTTCTACTTAACTCTTTTTCTTTCAAATGGTTTTTGTATTTAGATTCTATAATAATTTTTTGACTGTTATCAGAATTTTCATAGCTAGTGCACAGATCACACTGATCTTTTTTAGGACTAAAGAAACTTATGTTATACTCAGTGGTAAATATCTTGTAATAGGTTATGTACTTGCCGGAGTCTTTGCCATTTAGCGATTGCAATTCTGAGAAATCTCTATACAGGTCTTTTATAGTTTTACCACCACCAATATATTCTTTAGTAGTTTGAGCTCTCAAGTAATGTGATTCCATACGAGGAATAGAGTCGATGTGCTTCTTTATATCTGCGGCTAGTTGGGGACTTATTTTTGTGTTATGGCCGTGTTTACCACGTCTTTCTTCTAATACAAAACCATTCTCGTTGGTATTTGTCTTTACAGTATAAATCATGCGGTCTGTTATGTCCAAAGTATTTTTGAAAAAGGTTTTGCAGACCCTAATCTTTCGGTCGTTCACCGTTAAGAAAAATGCTTTGTTTGGACGACGGGGATTTTCAGCATTGGTATATTTATATTTTGGATGGATATCGATCATACAGGAATAGATAAATAACCTTTGCTTGCTCAGATCTCCTAGTTTCCAAAAGTTATTAAAAATGTCGTATCTTGCTCTATCATCTAATTGTTGAGAACAGTTTAACTTACAATTTACGCATGGAAGCTTCAAAAAACGTGCTGAGATGACTTTGTTAGACTTGGACATGGATCTGTATGATTCACCTTCATTGCGCAGTTTCTTAGCTCGGTTTTGTTTCCATTTGTTGGGACGTTTCTGCCTTTTGCGTCCCTTTTTGGTGTTCTGGTCAGATGAGTCGGTGTCAGAACTTGAGTGATTTGAATGGAGCGGGAATAAATAGTTCTTTTTTTTATAGTGAGAAGTGCTAGCTAATTTATCTGCAGAGTTGTAAGTCGGATCAGCTATGTCGTCATCAAAGTCGCTTTCATCTGTGTACTGAGGTGACACTACAATTGGTCTATTTGTTGCACAAATTCGTTCGTGTCGACTATTACTTTCACACTGGGCCTGGAATTAAAAAAAATTGCTAAAGAATACCTTGTTAAAATTTTAAATTTTAAGAATATCATTATTGTAATAATATTACATCAACTTGGCCGTCCTCTTGTGCGGTGGTTATTTTATTATGTTCTGATTCCGGTGTTGAGTTAATAACATCGATTTCATGTGTTTGATGTTGGTTCCTAGGCTCTGATTGTGGAATTTCAGAAGATAATGAGTTGGTAGAAGATGAAGATGAGCTCGATGCACTAGAGGTCGAGCTCGATGAACTTGAGGTTGAAGTCGCTTTTCGCGTGACAGGTGCAGGCCTATTTGTGTTATTTTCATCAGTGTCAGAGGAACTTTCATCGTCATAGTTTGGAACGAGACTTATTTGACTTTTTGTATTATAATTTCGTTCATCCTGTAAATGCAAAGCACGTCAATGAATTTAATAACAATAACTGTATGTATTTACTTAAAGTATTACTTATCACATTGCAACAATACCCACACGCATATTCAAGCTCAGACTCGACACAGACACAAAATATAGGTACATACCGCACATAACACACCCTGTACGCGCGTATGTACCTATAGCTATCACGTAAATAACGTTTAAAGAAAGTGTACCTTCTTAAATTGTACTTACATTAGTGTCCTGTTTAGTACATTGGTGTACTGTCGAAATAGCTGATTCTGATGCGTCATTTATGTCCTTACGTTGAGACTCGTCCGTCTTTACTATTTATTCCACAATCTTTCGGTCTCTCCACGATGACGCCATAACTAATAAAATGTAAGGTTCGGTTAATTCTAAACAGAATCAATATTAAGAATTGAAACAAATATTTACCTTCCGATTAAAAATAGACTGCAATAATACGTAATTAAAATATGAAAATCAAATACATATACTAGCAAACAGAACTAAAACTCAATGTCTTATAAAAAACTGTTAATCTTCAGTAATAAAACGGTACATTTCATACAAATACGCACAACTTGTCATAATATTAAATCATAAAATGAACTAACTCAAAATGTTGCAAAGTGTTATTGACACTATTTCAAACGAAAATGTAATAATTCTAAAATGTTCACTTTGTGATTTAAAGTCAAGCAAAGCTAGCGCTTACCTGTTAATAATATAATGCACTATTAGGTTTTACACACTCGCGCACACGTCTGCCTCGTAACTCTGTCGGCGTAACACTAAATGGCGTCACTTTACAGCTAGCTGATTGGCTCGCTCCGTAAAAACGAAAAAGATGGACGATACCTCTATCTCACTCTACGCGTGCAAATCGAATGCCTGTAAGACTGATTGTATTCTTTACACGATTTTAATGCGTTTTATGACGAAAAGT